TGTTGATAGTAATACTTTCATACTTTTAACTCTTTATTCTTATTAACAGCAATTATTTAGTTGTTCGAGAATTCGTAAATTCAACAGTAATTATTTAATTATTCGAGAATTCGTAAATTCAACAGTAATTATTTAATTATTCGAGAATTCGTAAATTCAACAGTAATTATTTAATTATTCGAGAATTCACGAATTCAACAGTAATTATTTAATTATTCGAGAATTCGTGAATTCAACAATATTCGAGAATTGGTAAATTCAACAGTAATTATTTAATCATCCAAGAATTCGTAAATTTTTCGCCTCACTTTGAGGAATATTAATTATTTGGGAAGTGTTAATAACAATTTTTGGGCGGGCTTTTATCAATGGTAATCAAATGATTATATAATTTTCACTAAATCGATTAGCATATTAGAAAGTGATTGTTTTTGTTTTACCTTCAATAAGTGGTAAGCGTATATAGGGGAAAAAAAACAAGTGAAAACTGAATGGAGAAACTGATACGTGAATTTATATGCGAAATCTCGGGATACGTCAATGAGTAAGATGCAAGTGGTGCAATGATTTATCCGAGCTATCTCGGGAAGTTCTTTTGGAAGTTAGTTCTGAAGTAGACAGTGAAAGAATTGCATGAAAAAAAAAGAGAAATATTGCATCCCACAAATGCCATCAGAATTAATAACTCTTAAATTTTCAAAGAAGAGCATTATTAAAGCGTTTATTGAAACTAATTAATATTAAAACTTAAAAATAATTAATTGGGCATTTAAGTGAAATTTCTGTTAATGTTTACAAAAATGAAATATGAAAGAATAATTATTATAATTAGATGTTTCAAGAAGGGATAATTTTCATTTGTGCAAATATTTTTCCTCTCCAGGACAAAGATATTCCTTTTAAGTTTTTAATTAAATATTTCTTCCAAACTTTTAAAAATATTTTTTTAGACAGAATTATTTCTTTTAAATTTTTAATTAAATTTCTTTGCAAAAAATATATCAATGAAAGGCATCAGCTAATAGGAAATATTTGAAAAATACAATTTCAAAAGAAATTAAATCAAGAAGAAAGTTTCTCTAAGATTTTTCAATGAATTAATTTCATAAATTAGTTTTGGAAAAATAATAGAGCCATTAAAAAAATCATTGTAATTTATTTTATAATTTTTCATATCACACAACATATGCAACCAAAAGTAAATATTCCACTAAATCAATCATCATATCAGCTATTTGATCGTTTGCTTTAATCAATTTATCAGTTTAATTATCAGTAATTAATTTTTTTCTCTTTTGTCAAAAGCTAACCAGAAAAATTTGCGTTTATATGATTTTCCAGAATTTTGAAAAGTATGAATAAATTTTAATTTTCCAATAATTTCATAATTTCACCATTATACTATTATCAATAATGAAAGGGTAGTATATTTTTGGTAAATTTTATTTTATCAATTTGCTAAAATATTTTGAGAAAAACAGATGAGTTACCTGTTACTTGTTGAAGTTATCCATTAGAATAATAAAATTTGATCACTTTTTTGTCACCTATTTTTGAGACGATAATATTTTGTATGACAATAATTCATTTCAAAATTTCTCTTATCATAATGTTATGTTGCATTTCATCTAGAATTGAATTTAAAAAAAAAAAAAAATGAAATAAAATGATACATTGGATTATGCGACAATTTTGTTGAAAAATTTTTCTAATAGCATTCTTTTCTCCTTATTTCATATTATTCAAATCTTACCTTTCACATTATATTGCAATTGCTTCATTTTATTCCCAAGCAATTCATTGTTGTAAAATATATCAAATTAGCATATCAAACTTTTCCTAATAATAAATCGGTATACTCCCGGAATTTCTCAATTCAACACACCAGATGGTCAATCATCTGTCTTTTTGTTACACCAACAAATTCTTCTAGTCATCCTGAAGCAATTTGTTCTAATTGGATGGGTCATGCAAATTTTTTTAATACGAAATGATGATTTTCGCTGTATTAAAATTTAAATTTTAAAATTTCAAAATTTAAATTTTTCAATAATTATAGATGTGTTTTTTTTTTAAAAAATAAGCAAGAAAAATGCAAATTTTTAAAGCAATGGAATAATTTCATTGTAAAATCTAAAGTATATATGACATTTTCTTGAAAAAAAAAAAGAAAAATGATAAGCAAAGATAAATTTTTGGTGAATAAATTACACTGATAATTGCACTGATAACGATTTTCATGTTTTTCTTAAAGCAAATAATCTCACTGACAACATATCACACAATCTTTCAACTAGTCTAAATATTGTCTAATGAACAATTGTCATACCAAAAAAAAATACGAGACATCATTTGTGATAAATAAAAGGTTTTACTTGGTTAAACTGTCAAGAGCTATTACAATGATACTTCTCTTGCATTAGATTCAATTATTTTGATAAATAGATTATCAGTAAATGATAATCTTATACCTTAAGGATAAGCAGAATATAGCTATTCAAATACTGACAAAATTATGATATTAGCAAAAAAAAAGAAAAAAATCAGGTTCTAAATCAGGTTGATTGATTTTGAATCAGGTTCATTGAATAAAATTAGATTCTGTTAATGAGTATGAAATGTTTTCCATGTAATTAATCGTATTTCCATCTTATCATTCTGTAAATTTTTTGTAGTTTTGTGGTTCTGATAACATTCTGCATACATTCTGCATATTTAATTAATTTTATGTTTGAAATGATTGGGGTCATGTAAGGTCATAATTTAATTATTTGTTTATTTAAAAAAAATTAAAATTTATCCTTTCTTTAATGAAAACATTAACTCACTGTAACATTGAACCATTCATTATTTGATGAAAATTTCTGAAAAAAAAAAAAAAAAACTCAATTTGATAATATGAAAGGTTAAAGGAAATATTGTCATCTACTGGAAATCCTTTAAAAAGTCAACAACGATTTAAAATGAAAGGAGAGGTGGGAGGGGGAAAAAAAAAGGCAATGTATGATATACAAGTAAGTGATCTGTATGATTTTTAGGTCAATTAACTAGTGTTGTAGAATTTTGTTATGAAATGACCTTGCATACCTTGTGCATATTTGTAATTTTATGTCAAGTGTCACATCATTTCAAATTTTTAAAAATTAAATTATATTTGAAAATATTTACAACTAATTGATAAAAATTATCTTCACTTATAAAATCATTTGTTGAATAGAATTAACGGAAGATGAGCTAACTTTAGCAATCTCTTCTTAAACATTTAGCTACTCCTTTATAATTTTGATGAAACTTTTATCAATCAAATTAGAACTATTCATATGATAATGTTGCTAATAAAATTAAGAATATCACATTCATTAGCATAATTAGCATAATTTCCTTTTTTACACTTTGCATTATTATTTATTCAATTTTTTCATTCTCATCTTTTTTGATTTTTAATTTTTCTTTCTTTTTTCATTCACCGTTTAATCATCATTTTACACCAAAATACGATTTTTGCCCAATTCGCTCTTAATATGTTGCTAATTTAATCTACAGTGATTTATATCATTCATCCATTAAATTTCAATTACTTAAATTTTGAAATACAAAAAAAAAAGGAGAGGAGGAATTTTTTCGCCGATTCAATTCCAATCACTGACATTTATTTCGTTCTTTCTGTTCGATGATATAATGAGAAAAAAAAAAATTAATGAATTGTATTTCAAAAAGATAATCTAGACGAAATACAGTACAATAGTAGTAGTTTATTCAGAGATGTTACAATTAATTATGAAATTTCATCCATTGTATTATTTGTAAATAAAAGTTTGACAAGTTTTTTTTTTTTTTGCTTATTAAAATTTACATCTTTTGTCAAAAAATTCAACATTTATTTTCTGATTATCATTTAAAAGAAACAGTAATTTTCTTGAATATTACATTATCGTATATTTTTATAGCCAACCATCTGGTGGATTCCATCCATACATTGTAATTGTTCGGTTGGTTAGCTTGATAAATTCTTTCTGGCAATCGATTTTTGTTTTATCTATAAAATATATTCAAGTAGAAGAATTGAATAAATATAATTTAAATTTTTGCACAAAATTATTGATAAAGTAATCCATTAAATTGAACCAAAATTAAAAAAAAAACAAAAAATGCTTTCCTAGGACAAATTTTATAAAACTGTTCTCTATTTATGATACAAATTCCTTTAATCGAATATTTCAATTTGCATTTTGGATAAACGATATACTATCGAGAGAAAATTATCATTGATTAATAAACATAAATAATTGATGGATTGAAAAGAAGAAAATTAGGAATTAAAGAAAAATTTTTTGAATGGATCAAGAAGTAATCTTGTGATCAAAAATCATATCATCTTTGATATCAACCAATATATCATTTATTTACAAATATTTCTAACAAAATAAAAAGTAAGGATAGTAATGATAGAATAATTGTATCTATCGGAAATATAGAAGGAATAGCAAGTAATTAAAGGAGAAATTATTTGTATCTAAAAAATGAATAAATTTGAAAAGAATGAATTTTGGAAATAATCACTTCGAAGTTTTTCCCATTCTTTCGCACATTTCAAACGTTTGTTTCCATCTGAAAAATATACAATGTATAACTGATAATAGATTATCATTGCATTACTTTATGATAGATTATCATATTGCATTACTTTAGCTAATAAATTAAATGATTAAGTTTAATTACAAGATTGACATCATTATTAGGGTCACTCTCCCACATAATCGACGTCATGACAATCTATCTAAACTATTTCATTTCATTCATATCAAATGCTGGTCATTGCTTTGTAATACTTTTGTGAAAAAAAAAATATCTTTTCGAACTTACTTACAAATTAAATTAAGTGATTTCTCGAAAAAAAAGAACATATGGAGCAGCTTAATTTTTGAATTTAAAGCTTTTTTGTATTTCTTTTTTTCCCATCAAAATTTTCACATTTTCATCATTGAACACTATCACAACTATTTCGAATTGTCGCACTGTAATAGAAGCTTTTGACAATTATTTTCAAATCTGAATTTTCATATAAATCAATAATTCTTGAATAACTTACCGTAATCGCCTACAGTAATTTGCATGTAGAGTGCATTCATCTGCTGTAAAATTTCTTCGGGTACATCAAAATGACCGTGTTTTCCTTTATAGCCAGCTCGACACATTTTATAAATCGCATTTGCAAAATCCTAAAAATAAAATCTAAAAATATTTGAAAAATTCTCTCGTTCATTTCCTGAAATCACTTTTTTTTTCTTTTTTTTTGATTTTACAAATGCTCCAGAAGCTAAAGAAGCCTAAAGAAGCATTTATGGTTCAAGGAAAGATGTAATGAATGGCATACTACCGTATCCCCAGTACTCTGACAATAAGTAGTACTTAACTTTAAGTGAATTTGAGAATTTAATCCGGAAAAGATGGATGCAAGTAATTACAGTAACAATATCATCCTTTCATTTTGGAAGGCTTTTATAAGATTAATTAAATTATATAATAAAATTAAATTATCAATCATTCGTTAAAAGAAATTGTATGGAAATTATATGCCTCAAAAATAAATTACAATTTTATATTAATGCATTTTTTAACATTTATCAAGCAAAAAAAAAGAAAAAGAAACATAATTGAAGAGTTTTTTTTTCTTTTTCTAAAATGACAATTTATTGCATTTCATCATGAAAAAACCGATCATTTTTCATGTTGACAAAATTTTTTTTCCCTTTTCTTCTTTTTTTTCAAAATTTTTGTTCAAAATTTCTTTTGTAAATTGTCAATTTAAAGTAAATGAAAGAGTTATAAAGAAATGTTCGAAAGATTCGTTTTTTTTTCTTTTTCTTTTCAGTTCAATTCTTTTACTCACATTAATAATGATTTTTTATCTTGCATGTAATACTTTTTTTTTTTTCTTTAAATGAAAGAAATTGATGTTTGAACAGGAAAAAAAAAAAACAAGAAAATGAAATAAAATAAGAAATATCATTATGCAGAGTATTGTTATAGAAGATGTTTGGCAATTATCTTTAACACTTTTACTGATATATTCGATTTATTTAATTAATCAAATCAAAATTTATTTAGATGAAATAGAAATAGGTTCAATTCATGAAAGTATGTCGGTAATTTGAGATGAAATGAGTAAACACGAGAGATATTTCTGAAAAATGTTTAAAGTAAATTAAGAAGACAGAAGTCATATTTATGAATAATTATAGTTAAAAGATAATTTAGCAAACTTTTTTAAAAGTGAGAACACTTTGCATTGTCTAATTACTATTGAACACTATATAAATATGTAAATTAGGTTGAAATATAGCAGTCCAAATTCTATCATTTTTAGATTAGGATGATAATTCTACCTTATCTCGCCATAAATCCTTATCTTCTTGATGTCGTCTTTCCCAATATGCCTGAAATTGTTTCTCTTCTTCTTCCGCTTCTTTTTGTTCACGCAAAAATGCTAGCCATCTGAATAAAAATATGAGCATTTCAAGTAATTGATTTACTAATTATGATAATTAAATGGATGGATGAATTGTTTCAGGTATTTAGTTTTACTCAAGATGAAATTATTAGATATACAGAAGGATTGTGAAAGAACAAAAATGCCGTGATCATTAAGAAGATATCTGTTGCCTATTAGTAAGATGGAGAATAATTATCATTCATGATAGTCTGGTTTCTTAATCGTTCCAATTTTTCAATAATTTCGCTCTAAATAACATTAATATTTAAATTAAACTGAGTAAGGAATAAATGATAAAAGCATAATCAAACAAATCATTAACGAGAGGGGAATTTCTCGGAATGTTTTTTTTTTTTTTCTTATCTTTTACAAAATTAATTAAATAGAAGATTAATTAATTTGCGTAGATGCAACTTGTATAAAAAAATTCTTTCTATGCCTAAAAGTCATACAAATAGAACAGAAGCTTAAACTGTCTCAAAGCTTATATTCCACTATTCAAGTTTGTTCGAAAATGTTTATTAGTAACTGAAGTTAATGTCTAAGGTCAAATTCTGGCATTAAAGTGAATTATTTGCATAGGTGATAAGTTGAAAAGCTTCATAATATATGATACTTTGTAAAATAACCTCAAACGAGCATCATTATCTTTCTTGTTTCGACGAATAATCAACTTTTCAAATTGTTCCATTATAAACTCATCATCAGCTTCATCTGGTAGCTCATCTCCTGAATTCCTATCAGAAATTTCTACATCATTCATAAAATTACCATCCACCAAATCAGGCATTTCTTCACTTTCACAATCCAATCTGCTATTAAAGTGTAGTTTGTTGGTATAACGCTCATGGATTGCATTGGTCCAGGAATCTGGAGAATGAATGTTGGATGTACAGTTTAATTCAGAATCAGATCCAGAGAATGATTTCTTTTTGTCACATTTCGCAACTGCAACATTTAGCTCAACTTCGCTACTCGAATCCATTTTATCACTTATTTCATCTAGAGAATCTTCACTCGACATCTCCGGCAGGAAACGTTCACTATCACTCGATGTCCAGTGGTTGTTGAAGTAATCATTCCTATCATAATCATTTGCGCAAGTCATGTCCTTATAATTCTAAAATTAGGAACCATAACAATCTTTCCATCTAAACAGTACAGTAGATCTGCAATCATAAGAGATAAGGAAACCAATGATACGTTAAGCACACCCTTACAAGTTGATTTATAATATAATTTGTTAAGATGTCAGTAACGATTCCTTCCTAGTATTTGACCCTCATAATTGAAACATTTCCTCTTGCTTACCTTTTTTGCTTGTAAATGTGAAGTAGCTCTTCAACAACAACATATTTAATTTGTGCATAAGTTTCATAAAAATGAATAACCTTAAACATGAAAATGTAAACAAAATGGTAGTGCATCATTTTTGCACCATACATCACTTTTCAAGCCCAGTAAGAAACATCATCCCTTTTTCACCCTACCACTCGTCATTTCGAATTTTATGCCTAATAAGGCCATATTACCATAAGTCCTTACCAGATAACACTACTTTCAGTTGAAATGAATATACTTGATCCTTGACGTTAAAAAAAAATGCAAAATGAAAGAAAAGTGTCGCGTGAGTGGAATCGTGAAAAAAAAAATTTCCAATTTACACAGAATTGAAGCCAATAATGTGGATTCCACCTGATCGATATAGGAAATTAGCAAACATTTCATTCAATTTGCATCATTTTTCAAGTCTAGTAGGAAATATCAATTCTTTTTCATCCTACCACTCATCATTTAGAATTCCCCGCGTAATAAGGTCACATTACTATAAGCTCCTATCGGATAACTCCATATCCAGTCCAAACGGATATATTTGATCTTTGACGCTAAAAAACGATGCAAAATTTGACTTGGAGAAAATAATGACAATTAAAAGTTGAAATCTAACTAGGCTTTATGCTATCCACATTGAGAATTCGACATATATTTTCACTCGTAAATATAATACCAGAACAAATTATTTTATCCTAGCTAAGCTATGGAAACTACAAATTATGGAAGACCAGCCCGATTCTGAAATATTCCTTTCTGAGGTCGCCAAATTAGACTTTCGCAACGCTAAAGATAAAAAAAAATAAATCTTCTTCTTACTTAACTAATATAAAAACGGGAATTTGTACATTGTCAAGCAATGAAGGCTCTACAGTTTCTATCAAGAAACACATATTTTAATACTCGTATTAAGCCAAAAAAAGTGGCAGTGAATAAAACGACAAACAATGAAACAGTTAAAACTATACATAAAACAAAGTAATACGATGGCAATTGTTCTCAGTGAAAAAGAAAGTGTAGATTTTAGATACCACTCATCATATCAGAGAGGATTTTCTTTCATCGACTGTTTTTCAAGTAATACTTCTGATGCTGTCGACAATTTTTCTAGCACTTCAACCTTAAAATAAATAATCACTAGCTATGACTACCACAAAGAGTTGTAGAACTAACAACTGCAAAAGTGCTTTGAAAATATAAAAAATTTTGAAATATGTATAATTCTATCACTATTTTCTTCTAGCCACCAATCTTTTGACCATGCACTTTTTGTAGTTTCTACTTTTTCCACAAAAATTACTGTTCAAATGTAATATCGGATACCTTTGCCGCTTCTCTTTTTCCTCTCCGTTTTGCAGTTCTTATTTCTCGAGCTGCAGTTTTTTGCAGATTGCATACTTTCTCCTAAAAGATAAAAAATCGTAACCCATATATTCAGTGCAACTTCATGTACCAAAAAATAGAAAATAAACTAAAATTTTTCATCAAATGAATTTCTAGTCTTATTGGAAAAGTTTGAAATTTGATTGATGAATGAGTAGACTAGCTTCAGTAACATGTTCGCTCAGCTTACCAGGTGCACGATTATCTTTCATGTCAGTGAAAGCATCGGTACTACCAATTATTTATTTTGACTTTCAGCAAAAAAAAAAAAGAAAAACTTAATTTCATTATAAGACAAGCACAATACCTTCCGCACCATATTGTTACAATCAGATAATATGAAGTAATAAATTACTAAGATCATTTTCTTTTATTCGAAAGTAAAAAAATCAAAATTCAACCTTCAGCACAGGCAAGATATCTGGATCTGTTTTGAACAGAGTCATGAAAACACCACCGGGAGTGCGTCGACGTGTACCGTCAGCAATCATCATACCACCAGATGCTTCTATTTCGCGCGTTGCTTTAAACAATTCTAGTGCTTTTTCCTCTCCTATTTCGAGTATTACACTGTAATAACTTTCGTTCAAGGACAAACTTTTACTAAAAAAAAAGGTAAACAAAAGGTTCAATGTATGCGGATACCGAATAGTCCATAAAAATCAGTTCATCTATAGAAATAATTAAAAAAGTGAATCTCACACAGCAAACCAAAATTCAGCAAAGACATGAACAGGTGAACTAATCTCTTGAAGCATCATTTACAGCTACCTTCGCATCAAGTGTTTGTCAAAATGAAGAAAAATAGGTTGTTTGTTACGAATTCCAGTAATGCCTAATTACCCTCCTTTTGCTCTTTCGACCACTTAAATATCCAGAACTCCATTCCAGATTAAAATTCAAATATTTTCTCAAGCAAAATTTCCAAGATACTAGCCTCCGCAAAAATTTTTCATTCCGTTCGCCTAATGCTCTTACAATACGCTCAGCCAGTTCGGCAATGTCAATATTTTGTGGGAATTCAGCTGTCAACAGTGTCTCCAAAGAATAACCACCACTCGCCAGTGAACTTGAATTCCGGTCACCTCTTCGACGCTTCAAAGAATTATTTATTCTCGCGACGTTCTTGACGATTCGACCACCGTTCCCTGAAATCAAGTCATAAAATCTGTAATTACAGGTGTGCTTTAAAAGCGTACTTATGTTCTTCACGTCAACCAAAAGCGTACTAATGTTCTCCATGTCAACTTATTACTATTGAGGAGCTCCAGTCATAATGTATAAAACAAACTCTTATTTGGATCGTAGTTATTTCGTCGCAGTTTCCCATCACTTCGTGAGGTGCTTCGTGATATGGAAGCAGAATGTCCCCATAATTCTTTGGTGTTTCTTTCCTGATTAGTGAAATTCATTGGCCCCTGCCTGTCCCGAATTCTTGATCCATCACCACACCTACGTGAACGTCTTCCGCACTGGAATCACTTTTAATTTACTTACCATTACATTTCTGACAATAATATAACATGCTGATAACAAGAAAAAGTCTATGAAAAAAAATGTATCAACACCTTGTTTGAAAGCTTCTGGACTTTTTCTTCATCAGCAATAAAATCAAATGGCCCACTATCATTTGCATCTGGTGAGATTTCATGATTCTATAATAAAGTCTTCTTGATGATATCACGAAGGAAATGTTTTGAACAATTTTTTAGAATATTTATAGTCTGTAAGTAGAATCAAATGCGTCAGTCTTTTCTTTCCAAATCCTATGTGATAGTACATTTAGACAAAGTTTCGAACATTTCTCTTAGCCTCACTAGATTTCATTTAAACATTTTCATGACCTCTGCAAGAATCAGTGGACCCAACTTCATATCACTAATTCAACTTGTTCTCTATCTACCTTAGTTATGTTTTACACATTTTGCAACAAACCCCTCCTTTTCTAGATTATGGGCAATACAGTTAGAATTTGACGGAGAAACTTAGAAAATGCAAAAATGCCACTACCACCTGGTATCTCATTTCTTGTTCATCATTGGTGGAACGCACATCAGGAAGAATGTAACTTTCAACACCACGTTCCACCATGTCATTCTCGCCTCGATATACTCCAACTTTATCCGAAAAAGTCTCAGCAAGACTTTGCTCAGCTAATAAATCAGTCCACATTTGTGCGGCTTTGCTGAAAATAGATATTTAAGCAGAAAACTTTGAGGTTCTTTAATATAGACTAGTTTCGAATAATGAATTCGAATAAATTTTACCTCCCAGCTTTACGGTCTTTCACCGCGTCATTGGCACATTCCAATTTCTGTTCCTTGCGTAAGCATGGGCCTTCATCATCACTCGACGACTCATCGTAACTTTTATTTATACGATACATATTCTGAAATTAACTTCAACTGAATTCCTAATGCCAAAGTGACATCAACAAATGACAAAGGTTATTCTACTAAACTGAAAAAAAAAAGAAGAAACGAGAAATGTCAGCGTTCGTTCCACATCAAATAAAAAATTTCCTTCACTAAAAAGTAGCAGCGACATCAATGGAAACAAATACCATGACATTTTGCTGCGAGATCCATCAAGAACTACCATTAAAACTAAATATAATAATGGCTCATTTAATTTAGCTGATCTATACAAGCTCCAATTTTTGTGCTCAGCATTTAACCTATTGCCCTGCGTTGAAAAGAAAAAATTTTTGTGACCACCTGAAATGTGGCTTCCGTTTCAAAAGTCGCGTTTGTATCAAATAATTATAAATACTGTAAAATGAATCGAAATAATTTGCTGCTGTAAAACGGAAAGTAACGAATTACATCACATAAGTAATCATTTTAAAAGTATAAATAGATTCTCCAGTTTCTGAAATTTTTTTATACACAGCATCACAGAAATACAATATCGTGAAAATTTATTAAAGGATGAAATTCATGAAATAAATAAAACTGACATTTTGGAGCAAGTCATTCCTCAAATAGGTATTTTTCTTACGACACAATGGGAGAAAACAACATGACAAATATATAAGGAGAAAAAAATTGTTCATGTGACAAAAAGCTTATATACAAATCTCTCATACACAACATTTGTGGAAATAAACTTGGATAAAAATGATGCACAAAACAAACAGTTTTAATTTCTTGAAATGAATTACGAATACAATCTACACTATAAAGAACGCCGAATAATATAAAATTCCAGTTTAAAAATATAAGAAAAAAATTCAAATTGCCAATAAAACATTACAACTGCATTCAAATTTAACATCGAATCAAAAAATCCTTTTTAGCCTTTATTATGCATATTTCCCCAGCCACGACGATGATCTGAAACAAACTCTTTGATAAACTTATAGCAATCCAACTTCTTAATGTGATTTCATCACCAGATGCCCCATTACTATCTACATTTGTGCCTAGAAGGTAAATCGCAACATAGTGATATATGAAATGAGACGTAACATCACATTAACCAAAACTTACTAAAATATAATACCACTTACAATCTTTATATTCATCCCATTTTTGAAGACGAACCCGTTCCTGTTCTTCCTTTGTTTCTTCATCCATTGCATTTGAGTCGGAGTTATTTTCAGATGAGCCCGGATTTATAGCACCGAATCTGGAAAACTACGTGTTCCAACGAGAATTTTATAAACTCTGCAGATGTATGATTATTTAAAAACATATTGGAAAATCAATAATGCAGTAGCACTTTCCTTAATTCGTAATAGCTTGAAAAACCAATACCAGAGTAGACATAATAAGATGTACATTACCTTCCATTTTTCATCATGTCATCATACCATTCGCTTACAGTCATCGTTGGTATACTTGGATATCCCAAACCAAAAACTTCCTTTTGTACTTTATCTCGAGCTATTATGTATGGAGTTGGTGCGAATCGCTTCGCTATAGATTCATCATAAATAAAACAATTATTTAATGATGCATCTTTCTTGAATATGTTTTCACTTTTTCACTGATTTTTCTCCTATCTAATGATTTGTTTTGGTCAACATTCCAGAACATAATGTAATAAAATGGGAAAAAAGGCTCAGCATCTCAAACCATATCATTGTGTAAAACAGTAAGAGAGATACTATCATTTAGCATTTAACAATTATGCTAATTAATTATATATTTATTTCAACCAAAGTTAAGAACAAAAAAAAGAAAGAAACATACTCGGTCGTTTCGGCAAAGCTTCAGTATGTCCTGTTTGGATTTTCAACATGTGCTCTACCATTGGTCTTTCTTGATCAATTTGTCTTATCTCATTCATACTTTTCATTGCAGCAAGACGTAAACGATTTATAATTAAGTCACGCTAAGAAAAGGAATAACTGTAAGAGCAAACAATGAAGAATTGGCGGTAAATTATTGAATACGAAACTAAGACAAGTAGTCCTCTCCAACCATTACTTGCTATTACTCTCAAAAATGCTATTCGAACTTTCCGTAATATCAGCTCTCCGCGTTAATCATTTATTTATTTGAGTAGATAAGCAATTCGTTTAATGCTGACATACTTCTTTCTTTTCCTAATATTTTTTCATGTGCCAATAAATTATAAGCCTCAACTAGCACATGAAACAAATCCATAAGTATTAGAATTTTTCACACAATAATCTGTTATACAAAACCATACCAACCATTAACTCGTCATCTGCATTTGAATATATTTCGGATTCAGAATTTTCCACTAATTTTTCCAATTCCTTTTCCTGTTGGAATCGTCGCAATTTTAATTCTCTCTGTTTAGATAGATTGATGTCATGGTTCGATTTCTCTGTTTCCTTTCCTTCACTATCGTCGTTCAATCCGGACAAATCGAAGTCAATAATACTGTATGATCTTAACCTTTCCAAAAAGTCTCGTAAATATATCTGAAAGGGTTACCTTATCTAAATAAATCGTATATTTTTAAATAACTTATTAACATTCAAGGTTCCCAGTGGTAGAATATGTTTAAGATGTTTTAAACATCGAAAGGAAAGCAAAAGGAAACCTTTAAATGTCTAGAAGAAGCAATAAAATGCAAAATTCGAGGCTTGGCATTTTTTCACCTGATGCCTACATCTATTTTCTAGATACTGTTCAGAACTACGAATTGAAAGTTAGCATATCCAGAAAGTCTGCCATTTTTCTTGATCTAAATGTTGTTTCGGATTTAGAGAAAATCCAAATTGAACCTTACATTCGTGATTTAAAAGAAAAGGTAACCTTTGCGCGGTCCAAAGATGAAAGACGTCCCTCCGGTCCAACGATAATATTTTGCGTTACCGTAGCCAAATAATATGGTAGGAATAAATAATTCAACGAATTGGTCGGCAATTCGTCAACACCTTCATTACTACTGAATAACGAACGAGCTGCTACTTCCTTTGTTAAAAGTTTTAATTTCTCTTCACATTGTTTCAACTGGTCCTGCAAAAACTATCCATTTTACTCAAGATGTCGTCGGGCATGAAGGATAAATACTTCCATAATTTTGTATACAATTATACTGAATTATTTAAAATAATGAAAAAAAAAATCGAACCGGAAATCGGGCTTATCCCCCCTCCGACCTGAGGTTCAACTCAGATCTGTAACTTTACCTGTAGATCCTTCGTACTTTGCTTCCCACTTTCCAAATACTTGATGATATTTTCGCAAAATTCAAAGTCATGTCGCAGCGAAATATCGTTTCGTTCGATATCGTTCATGATCTACGAATTGACTGTGAAACATTAACGAGTTGAGAGAATTACCTCAGAGATTAAAGCTAGATTCCATAACTGAGGTTACTTTCCACATTTTATACATAAGTTAATACTTCTACACATTTGCGTAACACACGTCACCGTCTCGGAACTGCATCACGTACCACCAAAAAATTCCCCCCAACACCTGTTTCTAACATCAACCTCTTCTTCTCACTGAGACTGGTCTATTCCCGGTTTATCACGATGACAGATTTTTATGCATGGCTGGTTCGAAATATATTAGTAAATAGAATCGAGTTGTAGAGAGGTTTAGCATGGAATAGATGGAGAAACAGTTCATGTCCCGACTGTTTTCAGGTCAAATGATGTCGAAATGGGAGAAACGGATATTGCAGACAGCTGCTGTTATCGGTATAAGTGTTTATCCCAGTACTATGATTGCATTCCATAATGGCTTGTAAGTCTTGAATTATTGCATAAAATAATGATAATTTCGTTAGAACTATCATCAGTGACCTCTGACATACTTAGTTCCATCTATGATTTATTTTTATGTTCGAAAAAATTCAGAGCAATACAATTCTTATCCTGTACAGACCAGAGAATACTAATAAGCAAAGAGTAGTTTAAAACATTGCTTGTTAGCTTTGGAGCATATATTATCGGTGATTTTCTGCTCTTGAAAAAGGTATTCATAGAAGCCAATTCAAAGTCTAAATTTATAATAGGTCGGAATGTACATTCTCGAAAGATTTTACTTTTCCATTTTTTAAAACAATTTTTTGCTTAAGGAAAGGTCTTTTAAACAAAACACATCAAGAAATTCATGCCTGATAGTACTCTTGGCTATCTTTACTTTTTCCTGCTACTTCATCTTGATAATTTTCAATTAAGGATTGAGCTCGGAAGGCGGACTATCGTTTACAATGTCCCTGACGAAATTGTGGAGATGGTAGAAAGTGAACTGGACAAATTGAAGAATTTATTGATGAAAGTTAATGTAAGCAATTCTCATTAAACTGTTTTATTCAAGTCGACGATCCCTATATGCGAACATATCAATTTCAAATTGTTCAGAGACCAACAAATTAGTTCTGAATTATTGATTCTTCTGTTCCTGCTTGATTTTACCGACTTTTTGGTTAATGAGTTGAGTAACGTTAATGATTCAATAATTCAATTATTGTTTGGCATTGTCATTGCCATATCCATATTTCATCTGATTGAAGTTCGGTGTATGTAGTGAATATGGAAAATTTAATTTCAGAGAAACTGAATTAAATTAAAGAAGTCAAATTTGGTCTTTGAAATAAACTTGTATATATGTCGGTTGTATGGTTAGTTGTTTCTGAAGTAATCTGTTTAATTTTCCTCTAGGCCAACATTGCTGTGACCGATTCACTGAATCCCGAGTGGCGTGGAGGTTTTTATTTTAGAAATGGTTTTGAACTACTCCTACCTATACGTGCTGTAGCAAAGAATTTGTCCGAAGTGCCAAACATGAAACAGATAGTTAGTATCAAGACGAACGATTTCTTTTCCAGGTTGCCTAATCTATAAAACTTTTCCATGTAAAGATACGCGGTTGTTTGTTCTTTAAGATTTGAATCCATCTTTTTCCATCATTTGGTGAAACTTTTTTGTATTATTTAGGATGTGTGTAAGATTTGTATAGTATGGGATAAGGACCAGCAGAGTAACAAGGTTTTTAATATATTTAAATAAGGGCTAGTTTTGCAAGAGTCACAAACTTTTTTGTTTCACAACGGTTGAGTGAAGCGATTTTCTCTACCACACATGAAAAATTCAAAACTTCATCCTCCCATCGTAATGCCTTCAATTTACAGCAAGAAAAAATTTTTGGATACTACAACGGATATTGGAAAGCATATATTTGATGACTATTTTCTTTCAGAAGCAGCTCGACGCTTCCTTATCCGACGCGAGTTACTTAGAGCTAATAGGTATTAAATGACTCAGTATCATTCGGGATTCATGTTCTCTCTTGATAGTAGTTTATGTTTCTAAAGAAGGATACTCTTCAATATATCAAGTTTCAAGACTATACTTTTAATAATCCTTATTTTAAAATTTTTAATAATATTTAATAATATTAATAATATTTAAAATTTTTTAATAATCATATGAGCACGACTTAATCTGGAACATAAGGTAATTAAATCTAGGCTTACTGATCACGTTTTCAGCCGCCAATTTGTTATGGTACCTGTTTCCATGTGGATTTTGTTGTTAAGCGTTGTATGTTTATCTTTCACATTTTTAATGCGTTATGGACGCATTATTTCATATGGTTCTTTAACACTGTTGATACCATCGGCAGCTGTTGTTTTTCGGAATGCCATGAGAAATTTCTTGATACATGGTGAAATGATGCTAGACTACGATGCTTGTGCTGAGTAATTTTTCTTTTATTCTTTTTTACAAAAATTGCAAGCGATTTAGAGATACACTTTAGAATGCTATGTTGAGCCATATATCCTTTTGCATCTTTTCATACATTTTGTGCAGTGCTGAAAAATCGATGAAATTAACTGCGTAAATGTAGTAATGCTTAGGCTCCTTCAGAATTATCGTTATCGCTAACTCCATTTAATGACTGACGGATGTATTAAGGTAATAACCTTATTCCAAATTTTTGTTTGCTGTGATGTAGGTTCCAGATTCTATTCACAGCGAATGCAAAGCAGCTCAGCGAAGTCGAAAAAACCGAGAAAACTGATACGCTTAGGGACCAGATCATTACATGTTATTTCAAATATTATATTTTTTTAGATGTTCTGATGCTTTAAAATTTTTAATTGTTTTGAATTGTTGAAAACTTCGTCCCAATTTCAGTTCTCCGGAATATGTGGAAGGAGCACGCCAGTATCTGAACTCATCAAGGGCAACAAATTTAAGAATACGCAATGCTCTAGGTGATTTGGAATCGAAGTTTATTGCAGCGAACGGTGATAGCGTTGGTGATTCATGGCCTTATTCGAAACGATTGAAAGCTATTGAAAAATTAGCTGCAGAACAGCGTCAGAAAAAAACTCTACCACCAGTAATTCGCACGAGTAAATTTAATCCGTGATCTTTGTTTTCCCCTTCAGTTATTCATGGAATTTCACCAAAATTAATAATTTCCTAAAGACGTTGGATGTGTAGAGACTCCTGTAAGAGTCTTTACACACTCCTGTACAGCTTTACTTTCTCATAAATTTCCCCATCTGTTAGGTTTTTTAGGCTGAATTTTCTAAATTCTGTAGAATCTTCCATCTCGTTATTTTCGGCGGTAGTTTTTCTATAACTCAGCAGCATAATATGGATGCTTGGTTGTCTTACCCTTTCTTCGTTAATGTCATCTTTATGCATCAGTAGTTTATCAATTTATTTTATCATATATTCCACTTAAGAAGTGTTCAATTTTTGACATGTTATTATGTTATAATATGTTATTCATGATTGTTGTCAGTTTTGCGGGTTTATAGTATTCGTCAAGGTGCAAAATAAAAACAAAATATGCTAATAAAATTTGAATAATTATAAACCACTCATGCTACAGTTCATGAATTCATGAATTACTTTTTCTAAAAATACACATTCGTAACGATTTTTATTAACTATTCTACAGCTACTTCTACTTCATTATGCCCAACGTCTGAATTTTCGGAACAGTTAGAGTTAATGAGATTCCTGGTGCATGTGTTTTCAATTACAGTTCTTATTTCGTTCGATGAGTGCAGAGTTTTTATGGAAGATAAAAAATCGGTGGGCACGACGTATACGTCTTGGCGTAATCGCATCAACAGTGGTGTCAGTTCCGTCTATATATTTGTTAGTCAATGGACCATATCTGAAAGAATACTTCGAAAAGCGATACGATGTCACCAATATGCTACCTAATCATCTGCAACAAATTATTGATTCAGTATGTGGTTCAAAGATTTTAAGTTAGACTGAGTTTTCTTGTAAATTAGGTTTCAAATTTAAAGTATTCTCAAACAATTATTGAAATTTTACTTTATTGACCATCCTATTATCCATCCTTTGTTCTTTTGATTTTATGTAATTTCTTTAATGAAATATTCCTTAATGTTCTGTTTGCTGTTGATTACCATTGTTATGAGCCTCACAACTAATTGCGTGAAATTTCTTCGGTTTTTAGTTTCATATAGCTTTTCAAATTTCACTTTCTGGTCTTACCATACATTTCATTGCTTTGAATTGCATCATGTAAATATTTTATTATTATATTTAATGAGAAATGTTCTTGTATTGATCGATGTCACAGTGAAGGATGAAATATTGCAGGAATATGAAAATTTTTTGATGTCAGATAATCGAGTACGAAAAAAAAAACGGGTCACTTTTTATTGTTCAACCTCGGAAAGTAAGTTGTGATCTAATATTAATATATGAAAATCAATTGATTTCCGGATCTTCCATCTGCTTTGTTTCTTTTTTTCCTTTTTTTTGTAAGCTCCATTTCAATACTTCCAATTCTGTTTTCTAGTGGCATTTTTGAATAATTTTTTCATCTTTTATACTTGCATCTCATCCTCAAACCTTCGAACTTTATTTTTCTAAATTCGAGAGTACTAAATGATATGTTGCTATTGGATAAAATTATATTTGGGGACGCTATGTATAATCCAATTATATAACCAACTATTATTGTGTTTTGAATGAATTGAAATCAGCGAATGTTTTCAGTGTATTTGGATTCAGTAGCACACGGAGCCCTGAACAGCCCCTGGGGTGCTCGAATAGCTCTACCATTTTATGCACAATTTCAAGCGTTCAACGAAGCTTATGATTACTGTAAGAAGAAACTGGAACCGATGTTGTTCATGGGTGAGCAAGCATGTGTTATTTGGGAATCAGCCGTTGGTCGACAGATAATTGAAACTTTCATTCTCAGCGAAGATGTTGGTGGATTTTGTTTGCAGTTTGCCGTCTTCGTCGTTATCTCTTTGAAACAGCTAAAGCTTGAGGATTAGAAATAGGTAGCTCTTTTTTAGTAAACCTGTCGACATAACTTTTAACAAGAGTTTTAGGGACTGTCATCAAATTTTTTTTTCTTTATTTCATCGACAACTTCATTGTCTTTCAGGCTTTAAGATTCTTGATACGACGTGATTTGACGGCACATGAAGCTATAAAAAGAACAGCTTTATTTGCATTTTACTGGTTCTGTTATACGAGTATTGCTTTTATGCTAGCTCAAATCATAGTACATTATTATTTCACCAGCAATGTGCTGTGGTTCTGTGGATTGTCCTTGGCTTTGAATACACCGGCATGCTGGGGCAGTGTACAGAATGCTAAACTTGACTGGTGGGTTTATAAAGCAGCATTAGCATTTCATCCTTTCCAAGTTCGAATTTCTTTATGTTGATCCGATTCGAATTCATTCAGTTACTTACAAGAGGTAGAACTCTGAGAGTTAGGTCAATTCAACAAAACATTTAAGCACTTCTCAGATCATATTTTTTGTTCATCCATAGTATAAAAAAAGTGCCAGTCCAAATTTTCAAGGCATGCCACGGACCAATCGGCTGATGCCGATGCTGCTCGTGCTTCGTTGGTACATGGCAGAGGTGGTAAAGAGTATTATCAAAAAATGTTGAAGAGAAACCGGTAATATTTTTATCATGATTTAAATCGCTAAATAAAGAATCATGGATATATACCCGTCTTTAATTTGCTCCTTTAAGAAAAACTGAAATTGCCATGGCGAAATACGGAGAAGCCAAAACTGCCACCATGCTTTTTGTTTGATAGGTAACTGCATTCCTTACACCACTGACTGTCCAAAGTGGTGTAAGGAATGAGCTGCCCATATATATATATATATATATATATATATATATATATATATATATATATATATATATATATATATATATATATATATATATATATATATATATA